ATTAAGATTTTTTTTCTGCACTAAGCTCTTTAAATCTGGTATTTTACACTTAGAACATATCACAGTTCTGACTAGTCAAATTTTAAAACCCCAAAAGTTAGCTGGAGGCTACACTGTACAGAACAACATAGTTCTAGATTATTCAGAGAGAATACTTCTTAGCTAGGAAAATTGGTTTCAGATTTTTTTTAGTCAGAAGTGATTATGGTTAACTTTTTTTGTAGTAATGCCTCAGGAATTTTCTGAGATAAAGTGTGAATTTAAGCAAATTCAGAGACCAAATGCAGTGAATAATTCAGAAAAGCTTTTATCTGCCTAAAAATACTGGAAGACAAAGTCAAATTTCCTTCCTGATGTATAACAAGGTACAGATTTCACTTTCTGCCTCCTCTTTGTTAATTTTTTTCTTGACCTATATAGGAGACCCTGCTTTTCTGATTCAGGAAGTGGCTAAAGCAAAAATATCTCACATGTTTCTTTTCACAGTGACAAATATACCGTGTCTCCAGGGATAAGCCAGGAACCTGACCTCAGCCATTACAGTATTCAGGGCCGTCTTTGTAGCATCAACACCCACTGTGCAGAAAGGGCTGGGGAAGTAAGTTTTCCCAGGGAGGAGGAAGCATAAGGCTTTTGACCATCTGGAGCTTATTAAGAGGATTCTTAGATAATGTAACCTAACCATCTTTTTCAATCTTGCTCTGCGGATCCACAAAGCAGATTTAATTTTATGATCTACAAGTCAATAATGCCCATCAGAATACCTTTGGGACGCAGTGGAATGAATGGTTGTTTCCTTTGTCCTTACAGCCTTGATAGCAGCTCTGTCCATTATTTTGTCAAGCCTCTCTTCCCTGTCTGGAGGACCTAAAACCACATTTCTTTGAAGTGCTCCTTCACCTTTTAGTCGAGAATTAACTTTCATCTTTTTGCTTATCTGTTCATTCTGCAACAATTAATATTGAGAATCACAATGCAGTGATTACACAGATGGGGTGGCGGGGAGCAGCAAGCCAAGTCAGGAAAAGGAAAAAGTTCTTCCTCCCCTTAGTGGAAGTGGGAGGGAGAACAGAGGGTGGGAGGGAAGTATGTAGTGAGGTAGCAAGACTTAAAAGACAAGACAAAACCAAAAACGAAGTGTTAAGAAACATGCACGAAAAGTCACTACTGAGTCTCCCTGGTGGCACAAGGGGTTAAAAGCCTTAGCACTATGAAGCTATCACAGCCACTGCACCACGAGTTCATGGCCAGGGAGGTGCCCCACAGGCCACAGCAGACCTCTCCTGTCTTACCTGCAGGTCCCCTCAGCAGTGTATTTCAGTAGATCCACCTGTTCTGTTCCCCATTCTGTCATTGGTGAACCCTCTCACCCCACCCTCACCCCACCTAGACCCCACCTCTTGTATGCAGAAATAAATAAATTTAAAAAAAAAAGTGAGCCATTACTGGTTCCCTGTTACTGACAGGCCAGCAAATGAACCTACCTATTCAGTCGCTTGAGAAGGCTCTTTTCAATCCTCCAGTGAGGCTGCCTTAACAGTAATGAGAAGGGATTTTCCACTGAGCACTTATCTATCTCCTATATAAATCAAAAAATAATTTCCTCTGGCAACATAAAGTTCCCGTTGAAATCATGCAAGTAAATGAGTCTGTATATCTCTGATGATGATGTACTTGAGGGACAAGATACTAAATTTCAAGCAATGTTCTTATTGATAAGCTACAGTTCAAGTAAGACCCACTGTTCCCTTTAGCTCTCAATCACCAACATAGTATTAGAAACAATCTTTAAGAACTCATGGAAGAGTTTTTACCTCTCCTTTGAAAGAGTAGGGTAAGCAGAAAGGTATGTGGGCAGAGGAGAAAGAATACAGTGGTAGAGGGGCACACAGTGGTGTGGTGGCACTAAACCACAGACATCAAGGAATTAAGAGTTCTACTTGTCTGAATCAAGTCACTCATCTATTTCAGAGTGAAAACTCATCCCCCAGTTACTCTTCTGGACATCTCAGTAGGTAAGGATAAACATTCAGTTATCAAATATTCAATAAGTATTTGCTGACCACATGCTATTATAACCCAAGGCATTATGCAAGGTGCAGGTCAACACAATGCAACCAGTCAACAAAGCCCCACAGAGAAGAGCCTCTATTCTTAGTAGACAGGTAAATCTACCTGCTGCTCCTTTAGTGAAATAGCTAGACACAAACACTTCACGTCCCTGTCAGATGAGGCAGCAATTCTTGAGTGAATGTGGGCACAAATAGTATATAGCGGGGCCTCCCTGGTGCAGCAAGGGGTTAGCTATCCGGACCCATGAGTGCAATCCCCAGCTAGTGGCACAGCAGGCCTCTCCTGTCCTGCTGCTGTTCCCCTCAGCAGTGTATTTCAGTACATCTGTCTGTTCTGCTCCACACTGTTTCTGGCGAACCCTCTCATCCCCCGCACCTCTGGCCTGTACCCATATGCATAAATAAAAAATAAATCTTAAAAAAATAAAAAGGTTGGAGTTTCAGCACTTACAGTTTATGATTACTACATATATTGCTCCTATAAACTAAGTAGATAGGAGCTGAGAAATAAAACATAGGAAAGAAGACTAGTTATACCTTTGACACCATTTCCTTCTTTATAGACCGTTGCAGTAAGAGAACTGTCAATTTAGCAGTCAACTCTATTGCTAAACTAAGGTAGTATTTTTTTTTAAATCTTGATTTCTAAAGGGGAAAACTTCTCCCCTTTACCCATCACAAAAGGTTTTATTTTTATTTAAGATAGTATGTTTTTAAAGAGAAACACAATAGCAAGACTGCTTGTAAGTTAGCCAGGAAATACATTAGAAGTCTTTCAGCTCAGTATTCACATCCACCCTCACTCCCCTGACACTGGGGCACCATAGAAACATCCAGATAGAATTCCCACTGGTAAAGGATCCTTTCCAGTGGTTCTGCCAAGGGATATATATCTCTAGCTATCTGGGAGAACTCTTTGTGGAAATCTAAAGGCAAACATAAGTTACTTAAATGGGTGTTTGTAAGTCCTATGCTAATAAGGCAAAGAAATTTCCATATTGCTACATGTTTATATAAAAAGCAGAGAATCTTTTCCAAGGACATTGAGCCCCTTCCCCCCAAAATGAATTGTGTATTTTCCTTTCTGTTTATGGCACTTTTTTTTTAGTCCTCAGATGCTAACGTGGAAAACACCTGGGTTTGCTCCTGGGTGGCTTGTGTCTCCACACAGAATACTCAGCATGACTGCAGTTAAGAAATCAAGATACTGGGGTCTCCCTGGTAGCGCAAGGGGTTAAAACACAGCACTACTATCCATAGCCACTGCAGCATAAGTTCGATCCCCACCCAGAGTGTGACCCACACATGCAGCAGACCTTTCTTTGTCTTACCTGCTGCTCCCCTCTCCAGTGTATTTCAGTCCATCTGCCTGTTCTGCTCCCCCCTATTTCTAACGAATCTTCACACACACGCGCACACACACACATCTCTGGCCTGTACCCCGGTTCTTGTATGCATAACCTTAAAAAAAAATGAGACACTAAGTTCCTAGGAACCCAGAACTAAATTAGATTGTTACAGATTTCATTTACTTCCTTTAAAAACACCTTTATTTCTGCATTTAATGCCTGCCTGAGCACTCTGATGTACATTAATAATTTATGAATAAATAGATGAATGAGTGGTTATATAAAATCACTTTTGTAAGTTTTTTTGTGTGTGTGTGTCAGAAATGGTAGGATAATCAAAGAATCCAAAACAGGTAATACTGAATTTTCAGAAGAGTAACAGATTATAGTCCCATCCTAGAAACAGCATTCCTGCTCCAGGTAAATACCAAACCAACAGAAGATGTCAAAGTGCCAACCTCATTACCTGAGACCTCTGCAGAAAGAAGCCTCCTTTTCCTGGAGTCTGAGTAGACTTGATCAAGATCACCAACCACTAGGAGTCTGTTACAGGGAAACCCCCGTGTGAAATGGGCTGGTCTGAGTGTGGGTCCTCACCCACGCTTAAACGGGACTTAGGAGATTCAACTGCAGGCACACACAAAATTGTTGGGGGAAAGCATGTCCAGAAAACTCCACAACACAGGTTTTATGAAGTCGACACATTAAGTCCCTGGTGAATATCTGTCTTACACAGTAGATTACAGTCACTAACTCAAAAAAAGGAAATTACTTTTATCTAGAACACATGGCTGAACAAAGTACGCTGTGATTCTGCCAAGCCTCTTGGAAGCTGACTCAATACAGCTGTCCTCTAGTAAGCCACTCGGCGCTCCATCCTTTCCAGATGACCACTCCTTCCATTTTAGACCTCCAAGGCCTGTTCCGCAACCTATCTAACACCTTATCTTACTCTGGGAACCTCGGGCTCTACCACACCTTGTCCCTACCAGATTGCTACTCTCCGGCTCCGGCGGAATTTTATTATCTCTTTCACACACACCGTTCTCGTGTTCACGAGCAACAAATCAAGGCTGGGGCCTAACCCGCCAACTCTCAGAATCTAAGGGGTCCTCCCAAGTCTTGGGTCCCCACGAGCCCGCTCCTTCTGCCTGGAACATCTGGCTCTTGCCTTGACCCCTCAGCTTCCACGACCCCAATTAACTCAGGTTCCCCCAGTCCTTCCCTGTTCCTCGCTTTGGGGTGTCTGCTAAGCTCAGTCAACCTGTTTCCTGTGCTGAACCGATACCTCGGGAGGCGGCCTACGAGACCCTCCCAAGCGCTGTCCGGAAACTCAGTTTCAACGGGCGCCGCGTCCCCCTCGACGCCCGCGCTTTCAGCCCCACGCCCCCGACTCCCAGCTCCACCCAAGCTCCGCGCCCACCTCCGCCGCCCCCCAGGCAGCCCGCGCGGGCCGGGCTCCCCAGCCCCTGCTTCCGGGGTTGCCCCGCAGATCTGCTTCCGGTGCTCGGCCGCGCGCCGCCGGCGGCTCCGGGACCCGCGCCCCCGGCCCTCCGCGCCGCTAGTCGCGGGCTCTCACCGCTCGAAGAGCAGCCTAACGGAGAACACGCCCGCCGCCAGCGGGAACACCGCCAGAACGTGCCGGGCCCGCGGGTAGCCGTGGCCATCGCCCGGCCCCTCGAGGTCCGCCCAGCTCACGTTCCGGGGCAGCCAGAAGCGTTCGCTCCACAGCCAGCCCCACAGGAGGCCCAGGTTTCCTTCCAGCGCTGTCGCCATCTTACGCCCGCCCCGCGGCCACCGCCGCCACAGCCTCGGCTGCCGCCAGAGCCAACGGAACCCGCGGGGAGGCGGCCCCGGGGCGGGGCCGTGCTGGCGGCCACACCCTTCCGGGCCCTTCAGTCTCCCGCACTTGTCAGCCCGCCTTCCCTGGGGGGCCGGACCTCTCCCCCGCGCATCTCGCCTCCCGGCCCACGGCGCCGTGGACCCCGCCCCCCGCCTCG